ATTCTGTCAGCTTCATCCAACACTATCACGGGAAACACGTGAGTGTTTTTATCTAATCAGATCATCTAATTTTGGCAGTTAACAGATTATTCAAGTGATCATGTAAACAGCACACTACAATAGTTTGTACCAGCTTAAGTGCTATTATGAGATTTCAGAAAATCCAAGTCAAATAATCTATTCATCAGGTTATTAACTGGATGTGAGGATACAGTTTCACAAAACCTTTTTTTGCATTAATGAAACCATTTTGTACGTTGAAACCCAAATGAAATCTTTTAGGTTTAGATTTATGATTTTGAATCATCTCACAGAGCTTATTCAAAACCAACACTGAGTAACAAATCAGCGTCGACCCTGAGCAAGTGTGTACCGAGCATGTGCAGCTCTGAGGCGTGGAAGCTGGCATTTTCGTCCATGTGCTGCAGCAGACGTCCTGGTGTGCAGATGATGATGTTTGTGCGATGAATCTTCAGCGACTCGTCCTTGAGGTCCTGCAGCCAGATAAATTAACGACAAGCATTAATAGCAGGTAGCTGTGTGTACTACATTTTCTGGACAACAGATCACTCCGGAGGAAGAAGAAAAAATAAATAAATAAATAAATAAATAAATAAATTAACCTGCAAAATTCTGCCAGTTTAGAAATTATTAGGAGTCAATTAAGAAAGCTACTAAAGAAAAACTATTTCAGACATTTGACCTTGCTGTGACATTGACCCTGTTTGGATCAATTCCAAAATCTAATCAGTACATCTGCTGGTTACAATCATAATTCCATATAAATCCTACAAACATCCAACCATACCAATGTATCACTTTGGTGTATGTAAGGTTTATATTAATATTTGTGAAGCCCAGTTTTTGTCCCGTTAATGTTGTAGTAATTCAGCACTGCAGTCTCCTGAGATCAACCCTTTGCTACAGTCCTGTCTATAAGTAAGCCCTCACAAAGTCCTTATATAAAACAACGCGTAATGCTGAAACCTTTTATTCACTTTATACATAGCTTCTGTAATGCAAAATGCACAGCTATGGGTTTAATGTTACATTGACTCTAAGGATGGATTGATCTGATACTTAATACCATAAACAAAGGACAAGCTGTCTTAAAGCATATCACTATCGTACCTCTAATAATTCACAATATTTAATCAACTGTCCTCCCCTGTAGGTGCATACCTAGTTACTGTACAACCACTAACAAATAGCATATCACATGTAGCTTACAAGTTGCAGCACAATATTAGAAACAGAGAACACACCTTTCCACCAATAACAAGTCCAGCTGAGAATTCATGGTTCTTCCCCACTTTCCTCAGCACCTCGAACGTCTGATAAGCCAGCTCTCGAGTTGGAGAGATTATAAGAGCACCGAGACCGTCCATGGCTGTCCACTGGTTACGATACAGACACTCCAGCACCTAGCAGAATATAGCATAAACACATAAAAAACGAATCAAGCTATGCATGTTGTCTTACAGATCTGTGTGGCAGAGGTAAAGCATCACAGTCTTTTTCTGTCATCCAGCAGTGACCGCTTACAGGAATGAGGAAAGCAAGAGTTTTCCCCGAGCCGGTCTTTGCAGCACCCAAGACATCTTTTCCCTGCAGAGCAAAGCCGATGGTCTGTCTCTGGATCTCTGTGGGCTGCCGATACTGAGCCTCTAACAGACCTGCCAACATGATAACAAACACACGTTCGTTTTGCTTTTATGAGCCTTAGCCACAAATTAAAACATATCACTAACATAAACTGATGATCATATCAAATACCTCGCAGAGTCTTCTTTGAGACTGGAAAATCAGAGAACTTAACAGCTTCTTTTGGATTTATCTGCAAGACAAAAATAATACACATGCTCAATTTTCTTAAATGACGATTGGAGAACTGGAACTTCTTGAAGATTAGAGCCAGTTTTCCACATTCACCCAAAATAATAAAGCCAAGACAAGATGTCTGGTGTCTGAACTCTAATAGTTTTGCACTGTGCATGTCCAAATCTTCACACAAATACATTAAACCACGTCACGTGGTAACTCAGCCACACTTGCTTAAATGATTTCTGACACTATATGATAAAAATTCTGATAAAATCAGCTATAGCTCCGTTCAGGAGATTCAACGCTTCAACTCAGCACTTAGTCTGGATGATGATGATGATGATGAACCACCAGTAACCAATTTATCTTGGTCATGGCTGCAGTGGATCTAAAGCCTAACCTGGGAATATTGGGTGTGAGTCATGAATACACTCTTGATGGGTTACCAGTCCATCACAGGGCACCATGCGCATATACATTCACACCTAGGGGCTATTTAGAGTCATGAGTGCACCTACCTGCATGTTTTTCAGAGGTGGAAGAAAACCGGAGAGCTCAGAGAAAACCCACACAGACACGAGGAGAACATATGAAACTCCACACAGACAGTAACTTGAGCTCAGGATCCAATCGTGCACCCTGGAGCTGCGAAGCGGCAACGCTACCCACTGCGATACACAACTGTTCCAAACTTGTAGATAACAAGTTGATCAGAAAGGCTGGATCCAAATCAGGTGTGCAGCCAGGCTTGCTGGAGGAAGTGGCAGCAACTCTTCAGCATCATGGACAACACAGCGCAATCACTCAATAACACAGTACGTAGTCCCAGCAATACTTTCAGCCAAAGACTCAGACTACTGAAGAGCAATACAAAACACCATAGGAGATCTCTTCTCCCAGTGGCAATCACACTGTACAATTCCTCCCCACAGACAGTCACACAAGCTCAGGATCAAACCAGGACCCTGGAGCAGTGAGGCTGCAACGCTACCCGCTGTTGGAGGAATTCTCTAAAACCTTTCCCTAAAATAGATCACACTTCTTAAAGGCATTTCTTTGATACACAAAATGTATTTTTGTTTCCCCCATCATAAAACAGCTACCAATCGGTGAGGGTGAAGGCTCACATGTGATTCCGCCAAGGCACGAGAAGCCAGCCAACCACATCTTTTCAAACGGCTGCTCGGTGGTCAAGACGTTGGACTACTGACCGGAAGGTCATGAGTTCAAATCCCAAGGCCCTTAACCCTCAACTGCTCAGTCGTATAAATGAGATACATGCAAGTCGCTCTGGATAAGGGCATCTGCCAGATGCTGTAATGCTCATGCTGCGTCACAGGGCAGCGTAACACACTCAGAGGAAAGCGCTGTCTGCCCTCTTCCGCATACATGAGCTCACAGTTGGCCAGGATTGGCTAGTGTCACTGTGACTGTCAGGGAAGATAGAGCATTAACTTATTTTACATTTAAAATGTCTTGATTGCAGACTTGTTCTGCTATATTATGAATTCTGCAAGACGTTGGACTACTGACCGGAAGGTCATGAGTTCAAATCCCAAGGCCCTTAACCCTCAACTGCTCAGTCGTATAAATGAGATACATGCAAGTCGCTCTGGATAAGGGCATCTGCCAGATGCTGTAATGCTCATGCTGCGTCACAGGGCAGCGTAACACACTCAGAGGAAAGCACTGTCTGCCCTCTTCCGCATAGTTCCGAGCTCACAGTTGGCCAGGATTGGCTAGTGTCACTGTGACTGTCAGGGAAGATAGAGCATTAACTTATTTTACATTTAAAATGTCTTGATTGCAGACTTGTTCTGCTATATTATGAATTCTGCTGTTATGAAACTAAGCCAAATGATCTGAAACAAATGTGTGATTTAGAAATGTAGACTGGCTGATCTGTTACAGCATTAACCTTAAAGAAAAAAGTAAAAAAAAAAAAAAAACAGGCCATGGCTGATTGCCATTTGGGGTAAAGTGAAAAACTGTGTACATTTGATTTTTCTTTGGCTGAACTATTCCATTTCCATGACTCATTTTGTCATTTTCTGCTGCCCATGAGGTGACAAGTTGAAATTAGGAAGAGAGGGAAAAAACGAAAAAAAAAAAAAAAAAACCCTCTTGCTGAAAGTATGTTGAAAAGGAGCTGAACAAAGCAGTTTGTTCCTAAAATTAAGAGAGACCTGATTCATATGTGCGTGTACAGTTTATCTTTAATAAAGTTTTTAATGGAAACAGATTTAAATATTAAACACTACACCTTTAAGTCACTGTGATGAGCCATGACGTCATGCACTAAAGCACAAGACGCTAAGCTACAGTCCAGAAGGCTTGTTGTTAGCATTAGCACCTTTAAAACACTGATTTAATTATAATTATTATTATTAGGTTAGCATATATATATTTGCTATATATTAGCACTGCAAAATCACATCTGTACAACCAACAACAAAAGAATTAACGTGGAACAGCATGGAAGCAGCAAAGCCCATTTTCTCTGCATACTAGCCTACTAAACAGTATGTTACAACCCTGGCTGTGTACTGTTTTCCAATACTATCTAGTACAGTAGTATGCACAGTAGTATGTGTTAACTTGCCTCTGCGTATTTGGCCACCAGCTTCTGGATGTTTTCTCTCTCTACCTCCCACTCGCGTTTCTTCTTCGGCCGTTTACTTTGTTGCCTGCTTTTGTCATGCCTCTTCTTCCATTTCTCAAAATTCTTAACTGGGTCTTGAGGAAGGTTTTTCTTCTCTTTTCCTTTTTTTATTCGCATTTTCTGCGCAGTGGATGTATGTAATTCCTGGAGAGTTGAACACACGTCCTAAGATACAGCATGTGGAGGAAACGTTGTCCTGTTCTTCATGAACTCTGATCGCTGTGGAGAGGAATGAGAGCTCAGTAGCGCCTCCTGTCGGAATGGAGTAAAGTAAAACATACTAAACATGCCGCTAGGGGCGTCCAAACGATCATCCATCCATCTATTTTCTGTCCTGCTTATCCTACACAGGGGGGGGGACACGCAGGACAGGGTACCAACCCATCACAGGGCTCAATCACGCACTACGGACAATTTAGAAATGACGATCAGAGTACAGCGCATGTCTTTGGACCGGAGGAGGAAACCGGAGTACCTGGAGGAAACCCCCAAGCACAGGGAGAACATGCACACAGGGCAGAGGGGGGATTCGAACCCCCAATGCTGGAGGTGCAAGGAAACATAACCACTAAACCACCATGCCTCCCATCCAAACTATCATTATTCATGCAGCAACCACTTTATCCTGGTCAGTGCCACAGTGGATCTGGAGACTATCCGGGGAAACCTGGGCGCCAGGCAGGGGGACTTCACCCCAGATGAGACGCTAGTCCAGCACAGAGGAGCTTTCACTCCTTTATAAGCAATTTATTGTAACCAGTCCACCTACCTGCATGTTTGACAGTGGGAAGAAACCTGAGAATCTGGAGAAAACCCACTTGAACAAGGAGAGAACATGCACAACTCCATGCAGACAGTAACCTGAGCTCAGGATTGGACCAGGGATCCTGAAGCGCTGAGGCAGCAGCTCTACCCACTGTACCACCGTTACACTTTTATTAGTGCCCAATATTATAGAGTCACAGACTATCTGCCATAATCAAAATGAAAAAATCAAAATGAAGGAAAAAGTTTACATTGTTACTTCCAAACATGTCTTGTTGTCCTAACAGCTGATTCATAATATGCATGTACAGTGCCTTGCATAAATATTCACCCCCCCTTGAACTTTTCCACATTTTATATATTTACAACCTGGAACTTAAATGGACTTAATTACGATTATCTCATGGATCTACACAAACTAGCTAATCATACTGAAGCAGAGGAATACTCAATATATAGTTTGAAAAATTATTAACAAACAATAAATGTAAAAAGTAGTGACTGCATAAGTATTCACCCTCTGCTGATGTGAAACCCCTAGACTGGTTCTAGTGCAACCAGTTCCCATCAGAAGTCACATTCTGAATGGAGTCAGTCTGTGTGCATTTAAAGTATCCCATGATCTCAGTATAAATACATCTGTTCCTGGAAGGCCTCAGAGACTTTTAGAGAGTAAACACCATCACAAAGACCAAAGGAGCTGTCAAAACAAGTCCCTGACAACCTTCTGGAACAGTATAAATCAGGGTTTGGTTCTAAAAAAAAAAATAAAAAATATCCCAGATAAAACACTACAAAGCACTGTCTTTCATAATGATTTGTTAGAATCTCATTTATTTGAATCCTATGTCCAAAAATTCATTATAATTACACCTGCACACAAAGCCTAATTGTTTACTCAGGCATTTCATTAAATAGCTATCTTCTTTTATGGATACCCTTTTCTTGTATATTGTAAAAACGCTACATGAATAAAATTGACTTGAATGTGGATATTCATATTGTTTATTTGCAATCCAAGATCCAACTGTTATTAACAATCACTAGTAGGAATGTTATCCGAGTGACGTTAGCGAGGTTTCAAGTGCAACACTGAACAGTACATAAAATGATGTGTCTACAAAAAAAAAAAAAAAAAAAAAATTGCAACTTGCAGTAAAACAAAATGCAAAATCCTCTTCATGAACGCAAACATTTATTTTAAACATTCATAATTCATAGAACACTGATCATATAAAATCATATCAAGCCTCTCTTTCTGAAAAATAATCATATTTACATACATATTTAAAATGTAAAAGCAACACTCTGGTACAAATCTTTTACCGGTTCAGGTATAGTTCAGTCCAGGCACAACCGGGTTCTCCTCTGTAAACTCTGCTACAGTTTCCAAATCAGTGCAATGTAACTGCAGCTCTGTACTAATCACTCATAAACTGATGCAACCTCAGCTAACAGAGATGCCTACAGATGGTTTAAGATGAGGCAGACATACTGAGCTTTTATACTTTATTTGTGGCATTCAATGTTAGGCTTAAAATCCTCTGGGTGTTTCTCAACGTGTGTGTTAATTTGTTCCTTCATTCCCATGCGCTCATTGTTGTCATCTCTTACTGCCCACGTACAGTTACAACACTGACAAATGCGAGTTACCAAGAGTGAGTAAAATAAGAGTGTCCATGATACTACCTAAACTTTCAATGTGCACTGGTTGCTGTCTTACTACCTACAATGAACTCAAAGACCCATAATTCATCGCAGTAACATACCAGTGGTGGAGGAGGCATCTCTTAACATCTCTTAGCATCTCATCTCTTTCAGCTCTTTTAACTAAACAATAAATCTGAAAAATGAGAGTTGGATTATAGCAATGGAATATTTGCTCCTAGCAAAAACCTCCTGTGTTAGATGTAGCTACCCGGAAGCTGCTAGCACAAGGCTTAAGTATGAAGCACCTCTCAGACTTTAACAGCTGTGTTCTCTGTTAGGAGTGGGTAATACGATGATGTGATATCAACAGGTTTATATTAATGTGCTCAAATGCATTATCCACAGTAACAGCTCATTCCTCATTCTACGACTTGTACAGCGGATGCTCCACAAAATCTAAGCCTAATAACAAATACATTAAAAATGTGCTGTTATTTTAACAAAGAACAAAGAAAAACATATAACGGTGAATCTTTGTGTGAGGAGACATTTAGTTAACATTTACGCAAAGGAGTCTCCAGTGTCAGTACTTTGTAACAGTCAGAGGTAAAGCTTAAGTTCCTGCCAATTGTGTCACGGTTTCTTGCTAAAAAGCTCCTATTTTTGTCGTATTGACTTCAAGATAAAGTGAGGAGCAACCATAGCGTAAGTGATAACTGGAATTAACTTGTTTGTCTGATGTTCCACAACATTAAATGTAACTGTAAACAGACAAAAAAGTATGACATTCTTTAATAAATGTAAAAAATTGTAAAAGTCAGGAAATTGCTGCAGTATAACAGAAATAAAACATGACAGGACATGCTGTTATTGGAAAAATAATCAACTTGGGTGGTAACAGTAACTCCATTTGGCCACAGGCTGCATCACACCACCCCATCGTTGATCATTTTCCTATAACAGTCTCCAAGTGTTTTATTTCTTAAATATCACCAATCTCTTTCCTCTGCTCAAGTCCTTACTAATGCTTTCTTAAAGGCAAATCATTGTTCCCAGGAGCACAAATCCATTTCACACACTCTTGGTGTTAAGAAACACTCAGACTAGACATTATATATATATATATATATATATATATAATAACCTCACTTTGGTCCTGTAAACTCAGTGCTTGGGCTGTGTATTGAGAAACAGAAGTAAAGCCTTATTATTTATCTGCCATTAGATTCTTGATAATTTGGAATACATATTTTTACAAAACAATGGTCCGGAAAACTCAAACTTCACAAAGCTAACTGACAAAGAGAATGAAATAGGGAAAAATTTGGTAAATTGCTGGTATGGGCCTGGCCTTCACTGAAGGCAACGTATACCTTTAAGTTTACACACACCTCTTCTAACGTGACATTGGTCAGTTTAGCTGACATCATATTGTACGTAAAATTCCTTCAGCGCTTCATGCTGTAGGCAGCTGGTGTATTCGACACTTTACCTTGTTGCTACAGTGTCAATAGCTATCGATAATCTTAGCTAGATAACGTGAACTGGGTTTGGATTTAAAAATCGATCAATTTAAGGCAGAAAAACTACACAAACCCTTCTAAAAATCTTTAAACATATTACACACCACTGTGTTCACTTACTCTTCATGTCATAATAATACACACACACACCTGCTCATAAACTGTCTTTCCACTGCAAAAAAAGTATCAAATCTCTGGCTGGTCATCTATAAAATACAAGATTTAAGACGATAAGCTCTTTAAAAGTCTAAACAGAAGTTCTTATGGTCACAGTGAGACACTAATTTGACACTACAGATGTCTGCAGTATGGCAACTCGTTAAGGAAAAGCTCCTCAGATTAGTCACTGGCGCAGAGCCTGTTTTTCTGTAGATAGCTGTTCTGAGAACAGAATGGACAGGAACACGTTCTGCACATCTAATTAACCCCCAGGTGTCCCTCCTGTTGTCCCGCTCTCACTTGACTCATACAGAAAGACAGAGGTACACAGAACAGGAAGATTTTAGAATTCCAAGTGAGAGAGCCGCGCATCTGTACATCCGGCACAAGTACATTTATTCTGACAGACTGGCACGGTTCATCCTTCCCATCACATCTGATCCCAGCGGGCTTTTCTCAGGCTTCCTGTTAGATCCTGTGAAGAGACAAAAAGAGACAGAGTGTAAAACAGCGGGAAACAAACTATACTGTATTGCAGTGCAGTGTTGGGCAAGCTGCTTTAAAAATGTACTAAGCTGCAAGTTTCATTATATTACAACAAAGCTACATCCATGATTAATTTTTATTACAAATAAAAAAATGTGCATTCGTTCTTTCATCTTTAGTAAGCGCTTTATCCTGGTTGGGGTTACAGCAGATCCGGTGCCTATCCCAGATCAACCCAGAGCACTGCTTACCCTCCGCACCACCACGCCACCTCACTTTTCAAAAAAAAATATGGAGGTGGTGTTTACAGGAAAATTGAAAATAATAATAAAGGATATTTGTGTGCATTTCCTGTGCTTTACCTCCCCTCGCCATGATCCTCCTCCACCCATGCCACGATCTTGCCCTCCCAGCCGGGCACCACCGCCTCATCCTGGAACACCTGAAGGACACAGTCCTATTCATTTACATATTCATATTATCTATATTTGTTAATGATTATAAAAGTGCAGGCACCTCCACATCGTAAACATCAGCACTGATGACAAATGGCATAAACATACCTCCTCTTTCACAGTGCCGAACTCGGGGTCCAGAGCTTTAAAATGGTATCTGTAACTGCCCTCACGATCTATAGCCACTTTAAAGTCTCGAAGGGTAATTTCTCCCAACCTGACATCAACACACACATGTAAAAATGAATATTTTACATCACGTACCTAAGACATAGTGCAATCCTGCAATCGAAATCCGTGTTGCTTTGATGTATACATTGTATTATTGGGATTTTTATTTCTTGGCATTGATGCATAAGCGACCATGTCTTTTGTTCTGAGACCTCCTCCTGTCAGCACCAAGTCAAATTATATAGAAAAGTATGCACTCACTGGCCACTTTAATAGAAACACCTGTACACCTGCACATTCATGCAATTCTGCAATCAGCCAATCGTGTGGCAGCAGCGCAATGCATAATATCATGCAGATACAAGTCTAGAGCT